GAGAGATTAATGCACTCTACCCTTAAATGGGAGGGAGACACATTGCTGTGCTTAGGGCCCAGCGGGATACCTGACTCTGCTGGACTACACAACCTGGTGATGCTACAATGTACTAGGGGTGTTTGCTCACACCCCTCATACCACACAGCAGGCAGAGGTCAAGATTCCGAAACATCATGTTCTTCATGCCAGGCAGGCACTTGGCCCAAGGTGACCCTAGGCAATCACAACCTATGAAGTCACAGGTCAGGCTGTTCTGAGCCACGGGGCACAAACATTGGTGTCATACCAGCAACCTCTGATTTCCATACCAAGAAATGACATCTCACTGTCTGCACAAAGTTAAATCAAGATCACGGCTTGGACGAGGACAAAGTACAGAACTATGTAGTGTGGGCTCTACTGTGCTCCCTTATTAAGGAGGCACAGAGGTGCAGAAGGTAGAAACAAGAGAATGACAGAGCTCTCTGCACACTGCCACACAGCCCAGGATGTGCCCAGAACATCACTCCCAAAGAAGGACTGACAGTCTAAGAGAACACAGGACGAATTAGGTGGATGCGTCTGATCTAGGATGGAAAGTTCTCCACGAAACCCCATTAGTCGTGGTCCTATCAGTAAAATCAAAAAAAGCTCAGAACATCAAACAAGGCATCCATGTGATCTGCACACATACAACAGGTTCCCCAGCACTGGCCAAATAAAGTGCCAACTCTCTGGCTTTGCTTGGCATTCAAGGCATTCTACAACCCAGTTCCACCTACTCTGCAAGCCTCACCCCAGACCACTCTGCAGTGACACCTTCAGCTACAGCTGCACACTGTGCTGTCCCCTAGCCCCAGGAGGAAGCGCATAATCCTGCCATTCTTCCTTCCTACCTGCTTTTCAGAATCTGGGGCAAAAACCACTTCCTCCTCCAGGAAGCAATCTCGACTCTTCCTTCCTCCTCATGCTGTTCCTACCTCTCCTGCTGTGCTCATCTCATCCTCTCCTGTATCACCAGGAACAGTTCTCCTCCCAACCTGGAGGGATGATCTCTGTAGACATACTGTCTCTCTCTCGTCACTCTGTATTCATTCTATCGAAATGGAGATCGACGGCATGCAAAAGAACAGTAATTAAGAGCTACGGTTTTTTTAAAATTAGTGAAATATGCTTGTGCCCTTGGAGTTTATTGTCCAGTGAAGGTAATAAGACATGAGTCCAAATAACCATAAACTCAGAACAAAGTGCCTAACACAGTTCCTGGTGCTAAGCAGACACTTGGTAAATATCTCCTGAATCCTGGAAGTGACAGTGGGTTAGAGACACCCACCTTCCAGTGCTCTTCCCTGTGCAGGCTTTCACCTCCAACCATGTGTTCCAGAACTGTCCACTGCTCACTGCTTACTTGCCCCGCCAGAGTGAAAGCTCCATGAGGGCAGGAACTTTGTCTTACTGTTCACACCATCCCCAGAACCTCGCAGTTTCTGTGGGCATGTTGCAGGTGCCTGACAAGTTTTGGTGAACAAATGAGTGAGAGTGCCTCGCAGGACACCCCGCAATGTGTCAGTGTTACGGCAGGCAGGCCCACAGTCAAACGAGAGGCAAAGTGTTGAGGAAATCCAGAGAAAAGGTATTACCTTCAAGAGGAAGCAAGGACAACTTTATGGAAAAGGTTATGACTAAGTAGGGCTTGGACAGAGGGGACAAGGGTCTGTTTTATTCAAGAGAAAGAAGGCAGGGAAATGTGGGGGCGGGAATGCACACAAAGAGCAGCTATTTGAAGAAAGGCGAACACTCAGTTTCAAGGCAGCAAATGTGAGATGAGTCAGGAAATACCCCTCTGCACAGATCTGTGGGCATTCGGAAGCCACTGAGGGTTTCCTGAATTCCCCCCAAAATGGATGCACACGTAGCCTCAGCAACTGAAAGCTTAAATGAGTTCTTGTTAAATGAACAACTACATCCTCCTGTGTATTCTCAGGGCTTTGAGCCAGAGAACACCTGGGTTTAAAAAAATAAGGCAAAAAAACAGATGCACCCTCAAAGGGCACCAGGATGTTCAGCTGGCTCCTCAGAGTGCCCCCCCCTCCTCCCTTCCCAGGGACAGAGGGGTCTCACCTGTATGCCAAAAACATGACATAGGACGCAGGTGCTCCATCATCTCGGTAGACTGACCTTAACAATCAAACAAGAGGGCCTCCCTGGTGGCGCAAGGGATTAAGCACAGCGCTATGAAGCTATCTGCAGCCACTACAGCATGAGTACCATCCCCGGCAGGCCAGGGAGCAACCCACATGGCGAAGTAGACCTCTCCTGTCACGCCCACTGCTCCCCTCAGCAGTGTATTTCAGTCAATCTGCCTGCTCTGTTCCCCACTCTGTCTCTGGTGAATCCTCTCACCCCCTGCACCTCTGGCCTATACCCCAGTTCTTGTATGCATAAATAAATAAATATTAAAAAATAAAAACAAACAAGAGTCTAGGAGGAAAGGACGAGGGAAAGGACATTTGTAGGACAAGGTGCCCTTCTTCCCGAGCTGACACCTGCTGCTGACTGGAAGGGAGGAAGGAGCTGTGATCGCCGAGAAGAAAGACACCATGCCACTAATCCCCAGGGTCCTCGATGTGGTGGACGGGTACTCAGACACACCACATCCCTGCTGGGAATGAGAAACCCACCAGCAGGTCAGTTAACTGTGGCTGCCCAGATGACAGCTGCAGATCATCCAAGATGGCAAGACGCTAGAATGACCTGACCCACAGCAGTAGGGGAAGGCCAGATGCCGAAAGCTCACCCCCTCGCCCTTGAGAAGCTGCCAAGAAACTGCTCCCCCGGAACAGGAGGTGCATGTGTAAAACGTTCGTGCTGCACTACACCCATCTGGATGCATGGTGTAGGGGGGGCACTCTGAGGAGCCAGCTGAACATCCTGGTGCCCTTTGAGGGTGCATCTGTTTCACGGAGAACCTTCCAGGCCCTGAGACCTCATCAGCAACAGGAACAGGAAAACCAGGCATCTAGCTGAGCCTTGCCATAACTTAGCTGTGGGGCCTAGGGCAACCAATGTAACTGCCCCGGGTGTCAGCTGCCTCCAAGGTGAAAAAGTCCAGCTCGGTTCAATTCACTGGTCTCACAGTTAGTGAAAACCTACCACCCACAGCTCCCTGCCATCAGGCAGCTTACACTCTAATTAGGATTTATGAGGTCGTTTTCACCATAAAAATTTTTTCATTCCATAAAAATAATTCTCTAATAACATCAGCAAGCATTTCTGAGTGCCACTTGGTACCAGGCACCCAGTAAAGAATTTTGCATTAATCTTTAAAATCACTCCCTGTTGGGGCCTCCCTGCTGGCACAAGGGGTTAAATCTCAGCACTATGAAGCTATAAGCAGCCACTGCAGCACCAGTTCAATCCCCAGCCAGGGAGCAAACCCACATGGCACAGCAGACCTCTCTGTCTTTCCCGCTGCTCCTCTCAGCAGTATGTTTCAGTAGATCCTCCTGTTTTGCTCCCCACTCTGTCTCTGGTGAATCCTCTCACTCACCTACCACCTCTGGCCTACACCCAAGCTCTTATATGCATAATTAAATAAATCTTAAAACAAAAAAAAAGGACTGAAAGGTAACACCTAAAATTTAAAAAAAAAAAAAAAAAAAATCACTCCCTGTTGGGCATTCTACTCCCCTTGTTTTAAAGAGAGGGAATTGAGGGAGGGGGGTGTTAGATGACCTGGCCATGGTCACACAGTTGTGACTGAAGGCAAGTGGAAAGAGGTCAAAGAAATGAGAGATCCGTGATTGGCACATAATGTTTTAGTTTCTAAAATGTAAGACTTTATTATCCACAAGGACAATCAGCATGGATGGTCAGTTACACCCAGACTCACTCTTGCCAGCAGATACCAGGCAGTCTCTTAGTTTGTCTACACAAGAAAAAGAACCCACGAGCTTGAGCAAAACTTGCAAGCAGCCCACATTTCTGCCCAAAAGGACCGAAGAAAGGATATGACAAGACTGATCTCAATCCCCATTTCTCCAATGGTTTCAAATTAAGCCATCTTTTCAGAGTAGCAGGACCATTTTAATTTTTAAAAAGATGGGGGGGAGCCTCTTACATATTTTACAAAATGAAATAATCATCTGGAGAAAGAGGAAGATACAGAACAGACCTATCTGCTTCTGATCAAACTGTACTTCACTCATTAGCTGCCGCTAGTCTCCCAAGAGTCGCCCCTCGACTCGTTAATAAAGCCCCATTATACTTCACTTGAGACGTCACATTTACATCAGGAAGGGTGGGATAAATGAAATGCAGGATTCAAAACCTTCCCTTTGGTCCCTCATAAAAATTCTGGTCAAAACAGATTTTTATTTATATGATACATTAAAGAATATTATGACAGTACTAACATGAAATCTGTTCTTCACTGCCATAGATTTTTTTCATATTAAGTTACAAATTCTTTCCACTAGTCCTGTTTTAACACCTCCACGGAATATTTCTCTGGCGAGTGTTAGCGAGGGACAGCTAGAAAGCAGAGAAATGAATTTTAACTAAAACACACGCTGACATATCATTTTCAAGCTCCTCACCCAGTCCACGAGGAAAGGCACAGTTCACCCAGCCACCGAGACCCTCGCGCGCACACAGAAGCTTTATTGAAGGGTGGTAAACAGTAAACAAATAAGGGTTGACTTAAAGTTCTATACTCCTGCCAGCCGGCTTTAGGCTGCCAACACTAACATCAGTCTGAAGTCCCTGTGGCCAGGCTCAAATTCTGTGGGAAAATAACCATGGATAAGGAAGGAGCTTTGTCCCCACTCTGCTCCAACTCTGGCCACCACACACCTCACCAATTACCCGGATGGCTCACTGAGGCTGAGCAACCCCAGACCCCTCTGAAAGGATGCCCAGAGGGGTCAGATGGAGAGATATGACCAGACTGGTGCCCCACAAGAGGGTGACCTCATAGAAGCTGAGCCAGTTGCCTGGTCCCATGAAATGAACTTGGAACTTCTGAGCACTGCCTGAGGATCTGCCCTTCACAGCCTGATGGCGACTGAGCTGCCTCCAACTCCATAACTCAGAGACCACCCCCTGGGAGGCTCCCCCAATAGGGCACACTGGGAGAGAGCCTGTTCTGGAGCAGGCTGCTTGGGTGTGTTCCTTATACCACTTCTCAACCCATCTGCACCTCGCTTTCTCATCCATGAGGAATGGCAAAGATCCTAGTACCCACGTAATAGGGCAGAGGTGAAGACTGAGCGACTAATATACATAAACTCAATCGCTATCATTTTTATTGCTAGACCTCTCGTAGGACTGGTGTGCGAGTCTAATAAAAATAACAGTAAAAATAGCAAGTAACACATATGGTATTGCCATGTGCCAGATTGGCTTTTTTTTAAGCACTTGTATTAATTTATTAAATCTGCATAAAACCCTATGAGATGGGAAAACTGAGGCTAAAGGAAGTTCAATAAGTTTCCCAAATTCACACAGCTTAGGCGTGGTACAGCCGAGATCTGAAGCCAAGTTGCTAAGCTTGAAATTAACAATAACAACGATGATGCCCAAACCAATAATGAGGAGGAGAAGACATCATGAGGCCCTCACCCGGGATCAGGTGCTAGTATTCTTCACAACCACCTTCTAAGGGAGTTACTATCCCATTTTGCAGGTGAGGAAACTAAGACTGCGAGAAGGCAATCTACTCAGCGTCATAGCACCAGGAATTCAGGTGGAGATAACGAACAGGAAAGTCCCTTGTGAAGTAGATTATAAAAGGTAAGATACTGTTATTAAATCTCTAGAAATCCAAGGAATGATGAACTCTCCCAATGGGTTTCATGTTAGTTCCCATCTAAAAGTCTGACAATTCGTGAGAAAAATCCAAGACTCTGGGATGGAGGAGGGGTGGAGGATGTATACACTTTGACGATCTTAAGAGTTGTCTCATTTTCAAGTTAAATGCATTGCTGAAAAACCAAACGCCAGAGTATATTTCAGTAAAACGCTGCCTTCCTCGTTTAAAAAAAGCAAGGGGAAGGAGAAAACAGGTCAGACCCAGGGTTTGACCAAGTCAGGGATTTTTCCAGTTTCCCTCTCGGGTAATCTGATCCTAGTTTCTGGGTGATCAAATGACTAACCTGGAAATTTGAAGATTCACACTTATGGAAGAAACAGCGATTCTTCCAAACCCAGGATATACTGCTAACGCTGGAAAGCCTTCTGAAATGTCAAGGATTACACACAGTTTGGAAAGCAATCTTTAAACAGATAAGACAGCCCCCAAGTTTGTGCTGAGGAAAGAAATAATATAACCTCTTAGGTTCATTAATTCCCATTACTTGCTTAAGCATTAGGAAAAAATGTCTTAAGAAAATGTATTGCTATTTTACTTAAGAGGTTCATGCTTCCCTTGAAAGACAAGGGAGAGGAGAGGGGAAGGGAGCAGAGGAGAGGGGAGCAGAGGGCAGGGGAGGGGAGGGGAGGGGAGAGAAAAGGAATTACATGCAAGACAGAGATTCGTGTAACAGGCTCCAAAACTGAAGTTCTCAAACTATCACCTGCAACAGCCAACTTTTCCTTTATTAATGTACAAAAACATTCCTTCCTTTACACAATTAAAAGGTTCCATTTCTAGGAGGCGATGCTTAATAAAAGTAACTCAATTTGCTGAAGCCACAGTTCTTTCCCTTTATAACCTACAGTCAGAAGCTTCACGTTTCTCCCTTTCCCTACAAGTGCCAAGGCCACAGGATACAGAGAAAATGTTTCATCCAGCATTACTCAGGGAAGAAAAAAGCATAATTAAAAACTGCAAATTTAACATCTAAGCCACCATCCTTTAAATTTCATCTTTAGCTTCATGCAGCTGTGTTCACATAGCCACACCTGGCAAGCCTAGTGAAAACTGTGTTAGCTCCACACTTGTGAGGAGGTGAAGGCCTATCTTAATCCATTAAGCAAGCCTTGTAGCACCACTCCAACATGGTTACAACATCTGCAGCACTTCTCTGCCCGGCACCAGTACTTGCACAAAGCAGTCGCAGCACTGTTGATTTCAAGTGTGTCTGATTGATCCAACCAACCTGAAGCCGGGATGGCCACTGCTGCTCCCGCCATATACAGGTCCCTACGAACCTGTAAGTTGTTGTCCCAAGAAAGGCGAAGTTGTTTCCTTAAAGCCCACCACCCCTCGCCATAAGTCCAAAGTGCAAGGCCTCAAAAGAGTACCCTCCAAAAGAAAGTTACAGGGAAATGTCCAACTTCTCCCAATATGATCTCAGCAATGCTTGAAAACAAATAAGAGTGCTTGCATACACATTGCAACAGACAGAGCGCCACGTCGCCCGCTAAGGCACAGGCTTGTTGCTGGTTTGTCCCTGCTCCTTAACTGGATGCTCAGAACCCACCTTAAGATGGCTAACGTGGGGACGCCTGGTTATCTCACAGAGCTCCTCGCCTGGACTCTCAGCTGGCACCAGCTGGCACCCTGAAGGAACAGCGCGCACCAGGTCTCAATGCTTCATTGCTAGTGCTCTGTTTTGAAATTTGAAATCCTTGGCAACCATCTCTGAACGCTAAAATCCTATAACTGATTCTCCTACTTACCTTGGGTTGCGCTCGACGAGGAAATGCAACTTTGGGGTCAATCTGAGAAAAAAATGGGAAAAGTAGGAGTCAATTGTGGTGCTTTGAGGGAAGGAAACAAATTATGATTAATCACCTAATTATTAATCACTCATTTCTCAGGCTTATAACCACTCTTTTAGTAATTTCCCAAGCAACTCAAAGTTCCTGAAACTTCAATCTAAACATTCCTTATACCTCCCAAGATATAACAGATAGAACTATACTTTCTGAAATGCCCCACCATATATTTCAATGTGTAATGCTCTTAATAGGCCAGATCTCAGGTGCTCTTATTTAGGCAATAAGACATTGAATATTAAATGGTACCTGCATCTAATTTGTGTTGCAAGGCTAGAAGAAAAGATGGGAACATCATCGTTGAAAAAAAAAAAATCATACCCTGAAAATTAAATGTAAAAATCCTCCAGCAGTAGGTAAGTGGCTGGTATTTCCTCCCCCTGAGGATAACTAAACAACACGGAAGGGGAAGGGGATTCCAAAAATTTTTAAATCAACATCCGAAAACCCCCCAGACATCTAACACCATGCTCTGCCTGAATTAATTCACTCACTTTAGCAAAAACAATGTGCAATCAAAAAGATGGCTCATTCTGTAGTTATACCTCAAGAAAAAGCAGGTGTCAAAAACTATAGAGGCTGGCTGGTTCTTAAAAAAATAATAATAAATAAAGAAGTGGAAACACACAAGCTAAATCTGCCTGGATATTGGGGGGGGGGGAAATCGCAGGGGGTAAAAAACATGATCAAACTAAAAACCCAAATTAGAAAAGTATAAGAAAATCGTTCAGGAAAAGGTTTTTTAAAAAAAAAATGAGACTCCAGTTTAACAATTAGGGCATTCCTCCTTCCCAACTCCAAGCAGAAGGGGAAAACATCCGATGCCCCAGACCAGTCACCAGTGGAACACAGGATTCTCAGTCAGGAACTGGCTTTCCATACAAAAACAATTCCCACAGAAGTATCTGAATCTAACAGGCTGATTTGGGGCAGGGGGCAGTGGAGGGGAGTTGTTGGGTAGAAAATACGGGAAGGGGAGGAATAAAAAAAATATTCCCAGGCCTCCCCTGGTGGCTCAGCGGTTGAGCGCTGGGTTGCGAGGCTGCCCGCAGCCTCTGCAGCGCCAGTTTGATCCCTGGCCACCGGCGAGGGTCCCCCCCACCCCCCAAAAAAATTCCCATTGTTGGTTTTCATTAGATTTCTAAATGTCACAAATCTTTGGGTAAAATTCAACACAGAAAGTGGTGTGGATGTTGCGACAAGTTATTTATTTATAGGCTTGGGCTTTCATATTAAAATGTTCCCCTTTTAAAATGTAAATCTGAACCTTGTTTTCAGTTCTGCCAAGGGAGGGAGAAAAAGAGGACTACCTGGGGCAAAAACACGGAGGAGGGAGGAAAGGCACACCAGGGATCATTCAAATGTCCCCAGACTTCCATCTCCTAGGACCCTGGCCGCTGTCTTATACGAAGATTTACCACCTTTATTAAGGTAGTTTCAAGAGCTAATAGAAGCCTGCAGCCTGTTCTCTACCTTTAAACATCACCTGAGAAATGAGAGATTATTTTTCAAAAACTAAAACAGACAAAAATCTCTGATCTAGGAAACTAGCCTTGCATCAAGATTAACATTACCACATCTACAGGTGTATTCAGCACTGGCTAGAACTGTCTACAAGAGAGATACAACAGGTGTGGATTTTCCATTCAGTTGCCCAGACGTAAAGACAGACACGTCTTTTCATAAACACTCCCCTGAAGTACTTTTTTAGCTGACCAGCACACAACTGAAATCATAAGTCACCTTATTTGTGGGGTATAAGGTGAGGGGCATGTGGTGGAGAGGCAAGGAGTTGAAGGAAACAGAGCACTAAAAAAAGATAATATTGAAAATGACAAAACTCAGAGCCAATTCCGAATGCCTCCAAATGCCTATATTGTGTGTTGCTGAGCACGGTCGGAGTCCTCCAGTGTGCACTCACACCCAGTGTGTGCTCACACTCAGTGTGCATTCACACTTGGGGCTCTTAGAGGAGAGGAGGGTCAGCAAGTATGGCAAATCCCAACCTTTTGCACATCCCTGTCAACTACTTTTTTTTTTTTTAAATGAACAAAAAAGAAAACTACCGAAAATTAAAACATTAGTTAGTTAGGTACAGCTCTACTTACTGTAGCTACAATCCTCTAGGAAAAGACTAGGGTACTATTTTGGATGTGAATGGCCGTTACCTAAACAAAGCTTTTAAGGTAACGGTAAACAAGATCCTCGTTTCCATGTCAATAAACCAACCGCTTCTGCCTCCTGCACTGAACGTTGAAACAAAGTCAAAAGCTACGTTATTCTAAATAATAGCGACCAAAACATGTCTACAAGCAATTAGGGAGGGAAACAGCAGGCTTTGTGCCTGATACCAGGGGTAGGACCCACCAGCCACCACGAAAACCAAATACGCTATTATATCTCCTGCCCGGGTTAGGGAGAAGTAGTGGATAATAAATGCCCAAATGGACGCTGGAATACTTTGGAATATTCCTCTTCTTCAATTTTTCGCCCTTTTTGGGGGGAAATGTCTAGTTGAAAATTCATGGGGAAAAAAAAAATCCTTCAGACATCCATTATTACCCTACTAATGAGTGTCCCTGAAATGAAATTATCTAAAAGTACAAAAGGGCTGGGCCACCATCTATGACAAATCCAGCACAACTAATAAAGCAACTTAAGGGTGTGGGGGGTCTTTCCTTAGGGAGGAGGTGGTTAGAGATCTTGCACAGGACCTCAGATCAGCTAGTGAGGGTGAATTTGCAAAATCAACACACCAAAGGTGGTGGCCTGGTGTTTTTCTTCTCTTTCTTTCTATGCTCAAGTCCCAAAGGAACTTGAAAGATCACCTCATCACTCCCTTATTTTACAAAGAGGAAACTCAAGCCCAGAGACAGGTAACTTGCCCAAGTTCCCCACGGGCAGCAGGACTAGGAACCCAATCCCCTGGCCTCGTCCCACTGCCCACCACAGAGAAGCGAAGTCCCAGGCAGCCCCACACTACATCCCAGTAGCACCTCAGGGCCCTGCTTAGGAGAATGTATAAACACTGTGGGCAAATTCTAACCCGCAAGAGGGAAGGGAGGAAGACAGTCACAAAGCCAACACAGGGGGCCAAATAAAACACTGCGAGCAGCCCTCCTGCTCTCTCCCCATTCAATTTATTATTATACACCAGATAAGCTTTCTTCCTTTTCTCTCCTCCCTCAAAGCTCAATTTTAAAAGCTTTCAATGCTCCAAAAGTGTCCATACTCAAAGAATCTGAGTGGGGGAGGAGGGGTGGGAATCACTTTGAAACCCAAGGACTTCTCGGCCTTAGATTTCACGCCATCTGGAGTCACCCACTGGATGCCCAGCCTGGCTCTGGAGGTCTCCCTCCCTTCTCAAACCACACTCCAAATGCCAATGCCCCAGGAGGAACCTGTTGCCTGGGTCTGCGATCACTGCCCCTTCACCTCCCCTGCGCCCTCTCAGCAGTGGAGCAGGTTGTGCCACTGAACGGCCAATCCCCACAGTCAGTGAGTAACCGAGGGCTGTGCTGGGTTGACAAAAGTTGCATTTGCTCTGTGGTGGAGTTTCTTTGCACGGTCCCTTGGCCAGGAAGATCGCCTCTGCCCAAGACCACCCCTCCCCCCAGTCAGATGCTTGGCAGGATCTGCAGCTGCAGTGGGACAGGCTCTAAAAGAAAGCCTCAAACCCAGCCATCCCAGCGAACTTTCCAGCCAACTTGCAAGCTCTGCCTGAAAGTACTCAGTGCTCAGCACAGCAGCTAAAGAAGACGCTGTCCCTTTAAATAGGGCTGTCAGTGCCCAAGATCGTTCCTGAAAAGGGGCGAAGAACAACAACAGGGAAAAGCAACCTACCGTCTTGGAGTCTAACTCGTGGTGGGGCTGACCTAATACTTTATCTACACTTGCTGGGTCTGCAAACGTGACGAAACCGAAGCCTCTGAAATGAGACAAAGGGAGAAAACACAAACAAGAAAATGGGACACCAATGAAAGCAACAAGGAGTGAGTCCTAATGCAAAACAGAGCCCAAGTTGCCCCCCACGAGCCCCCACTTTCCACACCCCCCACCACCCCCACCAATTCGCCTGCTGTCTACAACCTCCACTTCCCAAGAAAAAAACATCAAGGTTAATGGGGGAAGTGGCACGGGGCAGGGCGGGTGGAGGTAACTTGGAAAATGCTGGTGTCTCCACTCTTTCGCCACCTCAGTTCCCCCCCCCCCTCCTCTCCCCTTCCCTTCCTTAACGCTTTGTTTTATTCCGGAGGAAACCTCCGCACTTAGAAAAGATTCACCCCGCTGAGGGGGCTGAGGAGTTTGGAGTGTGGGGAAAGCATGCACTAAAAGGGGAAAAAAAAAAAAAAAAAAAACACAACTGTGTAAAGTGAATGAAGCTGAATGTCATTTTAAACAGAAGACAAGGGAGCGACGGGGAAAGGACCTGGAGCGGAGAGACGGGCATCTCCGCACCCAGAGTTCGGCCCCAATTAACAATAACCTTTGGGGTTTGGGGAGGGGGGGGGCCGTGCGCCGAGCGGCGTTCGAAACCAGCCACCGGCCTGAGCCCCGCTCTAAATCCGCTCAGCCACTTCTGAAGACACCTCCAAAAATAACACTTAAACTTTGTTCTAAAATAAAGACAAAATCCAGAAGGGAATGGTTTACCTGGAGCGTTTCGTAGTGGGGTCTCTCATGACCATACATTCTCTAATTTCTCCAAATTTGCTAAAATAGTCTCTAAGGCTATCTGTAGAGAGAGAACGAGAGAGATGGGGGGGGGGGAGAAGGTGTTGGGGGGGAAAAAAGGCAATGCAAATTTTGATCAAGGACAAAAACCAAAAGTAGTTTTCTGTTGTTATTCTGTTTTGTTTTTGCATTTTGTGAACACGCGGGGGAATTCGGCAACAGAGGTCGCGTAGAGGGCTCGGAAAGGATTTGCTATTTAAAAAAATAACCTTGCACAGGAGAAGTGGGGAGCCAATGGCGCGGGGGGGGGGCTCCTATACCGGGATAACAAAGAGCGATAAAGCAGCCAAGAAGGGGGGGACCCAGGCGCCCCCCCCTCCCTCCCTTACCTGGTGAGGTCTGCCAGCTCAGTCCGCCGATAAACATTTTACTAGAGGGAGAAAACATAACAGAAGTGAGCACCGATGTCAGATCGGCCATTTTGACGTGTAACTTACAAAAGCTGAAGGGAAAGCGGGGGGGAGCGGGCGAGCGGGAGCCCGGGGGGGGGCGGGAAGGTGACGGCGAAACGCAGCCCCAAGGTGTGTAACTTCCCCGGGGGCGGGGGGCGCGGGCGCGGCGGGGGCGCGGGCGATGCCGGCTCCGCGCTCCGCCGTCCCCGGCGCCGCAAGGAGAGCGAGCCCGGGCGGCGCGGCGGGCAGCGGCTGGAAACTTACCCGGGGTCGTGCTGGGAGTCGTTGGCGCTGCCCGAGGTGCCTTGGCTCCCATTTGCCTCCATCTCTGAGCCCCCCCGCCCCCCCACCCCCAAAAGACCGAGCCCCACAGCGATCGGAGCGGAGCGGCGGCCGGCTCCGCGCCCCGAGGTCTCCCGCGCCCTCCTCCCCCTCCTCCTCCCCCCGCCGGGCGGCTCCGAGTCTCGGCGAGCGGCGGAGCCGGGGCCGCGGCGAGACCGTCACACGTGGGCTCGGCTGCGCTCAGCCCCGCGGCTCGCACACCCCCCGTCCCCGCCCCCCCGGCCCATCCCCGCCGCTCCCCTCCCCCTCCCCACCCCCATCGCGCCTCCTCCCGCGCACGCGGGGCGGGTTCTAGAACGTCGTGTAACCAATGCCGGTGACGTCACGCACCCCGGCGCGGCCCCCGCCCGCCCGCGCGCGCACACCCGGCCCCCCGCGGCCGGACCCTCGGGGGCGGCGCGCGCGCCCCGCGGCCCTCGGGGGCCCCGCCTCCGGGCCGGGCCGGGCGGGCGCGGGGTGCGGGGGGACGCGCCCCGACCGCCCCGGGTCACATGGGCCGCGGGGGGCGGGGGCGCGCGGAGGGGGGCGCGGGGAGCGGGCCGCGCGCGCCGGGCCGGCCGGAGACGCCCCCTCCCCCCCTCCGGCGCGGCCTCCCCATTCAAGTTCGCCGCCCGGCCGCGGGCTCCGGGGGGGCCCCGCCGCGCGCCGGCTCTGCGCCCTTTTTCCAGCCGCCGAGCAGAAATTTAGGTCAAGGACGTCGGGATCAAACCCAAAGCCCGGCGCGCCCTGGGCCGCCACCGGCTCCCCGCCCGCAGGCCGGGGGCCTCGGGGCGCGGACACCCCCGCACACGCGCCAGCCACAAGTTTTATTTTCCCTTCGCGCCGCAAGTTCTCCGGCCGCCGCGCCGCGCCGCGCCGCGCCGCGCGCCGCCCGCCCGCCCGCCCGCCGCGGCAGAGGTACGAATCCGTGCCCCGGAGACGCTCTTTTGGAACTTTACGCGTTTTCAGCGGCGACAACGTGCCCGAGAAAGGGTTTCCGCGCGAGTCATTGTGCAGCGTTTAAAAAGCAGCGTAGGTTTATAGGGGTCAAGGTCAAATGATTGGGGTTTCGAGCAGATGTGAGGTACGGAGAGAAACAGTGTCGGGGCGTCTCCGGAGGGACTAGGAAAGGTGGTTATTTAAAGAAACCCCTTTCTAGCCTGTTCCTTACATTTTTTCCGTTTCTCTGCCGATAGTAAAATGCGTGAAGTTGGAGCAGGGCGAGAACCTTCTGGGGCGGGGGGTAGTAGCTGAGAGTAGCAGAAACTTCAGACTCACCCGAGGACCATCGCGGGGCCGCGCGAGTCCTGACACGCCGTGGGGGCTCAATAGTTGCCGGCTTCATCCCTTCCCGCAATGAAAACTCCAAAAAGACGATGTCTGTAGCTTCCCAGAGGCATTGCAAACTTCTCCAGCAGATTCCAAACTGACCAGATTCAGGCTGGATTCAATTTATGGGGTATTTAAAACAATAAGGATACAATTATCCTTATTGTTTTAAATTATTACAATAAATTGCGTTAATACGGCATAAGGGGCAACGTAAAGTGGTGGTTCATCAGTTACTCAAATTAATGTTAAGCATGAATTGATGTCCAATTAGCACTTTTCCATAAATTTCACAGGATTAGGACACAGTGAATACACTCAATACCAAAACTACCAAATCCACTCTGGGTCTTGGGAAAGTGGGATATCTGGAAAGTCCCAAAGCCAAAGCCCTGGGTGACCAGTTTCTTAATCTCTAAACTGGGATAATTCCTCCCAGACAGGAGTGATGGGGTGAGCAGAGGGACTGAAAGAAACAAATGTAAAAGTCCCCTTTTCATTGCAAACCGATGTGGGTTATCTTATTATGAAGGCATTACTTTATTTGATTTTTAGAAGGTTTAAAGCTTTTAAACCACAAGTCCAAGCACACCAAGCAGCTTTTCCAATCATCCGGGGTCTCATGTATCTAAGAGCCAGTTGTTGTTATTATGATAAGTGTTTATTATGGTTATTCTCAATAACAAAATGCAGACAGCAAAGCTAACGGGATTGTGTTTTGGACTTCAACAGAACCACAGACCATCAGAGGGGAAAAGGCCTTTCCTGATCCAACCCCCATGTTTTACATGAGGGTTCCAGAGGACCGAAGCTCCTCAGCCCCACCAGCCAATTCCTAAGAGGGTCTCTGGCTATGGCCCTATGCCCTTTGGCTCTGCTGCTTGCCTGTTTATTCTGTCCTTCACACAACAAGAGAGTGAGGTGCCCTTGTTCCCTGTTGTAGACCTGCCCAAGCTGACAGTGAACTGAATTAAAACCCAAAGAGGGCCTAGGGCTGTGATTGCAAAGTCAGTGACCAACAAAGAACTAGATCTTAAATTTCCACTACCACATTGTTTTTATTTTTAATTTTTAATAACATTTACTCATCTTGGTCTGTAATTCTATGTGTTTTGACAGATGCATAGAATCTGAGAATAGAATGCATAGAATCATAGAATCTGAGAATCACCATAACCAAGATGCAGAAGAGTTTCATTGTCCCCCCAAATCCCTCTTGTTGTCCCTTTGCACTATGTTTATCTGTAATGACTTATAAATATGCATTTCTTCTCCAGCTCACTTAATGTAGCCCTTGGGTCTAGACCATTCCAGAGCATTGTCAGTCCTTCACCTTCTTAAAGTCTCTTCATGAAACTGCTGGACATAGCAGTCTTCCCTTGGCATCTTTGATGACCATTCTCCTGGTATTCCTCCTGCCTCTCCAGCCATTCCTTGTCTGCTCTGCCCCATACCTCCTCTGCCTTTCCTGTAAATATTGGTGTCTGTTCTCTCTCCCCAGCCATATACCCTTACTGGGTGAGCTTTTCTGTAGGATGGGTTTAAATAACCACCACAGAGTTCCAGGGTCTAATTAATTTCCTTTTCAACCTCTCCACCTTCCTTCCTAAAGGGCACCCTAATCTCAACATATTCAAAATCACAGGTACATTCTTTCCCCCTAAATCTGAACCTCTTTTAAGATTCCTTGTCAGTGAACAGAACCCCAGCCATCCTACAAACGAGACTGACGGCTGTTCAGATTGACTCCTTCCATCTTGAGTGTTGAGTTTTGCTTCCTAAATATCTTCCGAATTCATCGTCCCATTACTGTATCCGGGTAGCCGCCTAAGCAATTTTCCCACATCCTTTCTTACTCCAGTTTTGTACCTGGAAAGTTTTTCCTGATCTCTCTGACCAGATCAGATCCCCCTTGGTATGAACTGTAATCCCTGCCAGCATGTCCACTATGTACCTTACCCTATGTGATCCTTTGTTTTATTGCTGATCTCCACCAAACCACAGCGCCCATCCATTTCTGCACTCCATGTATTAGCACAGTGCCTACTGGTGCATGATTGACATGGATATTTGTTGAACGATTCAAAGGATGAAGGAGTGAACAAAAGTCAACATCTAATTTCACTGTGGGATTTTTTTTGTATCTCTATGCCTAAATATAATTGGCTGCATTGTTCTCTTTTATTGCCTTTGTCTGGTTATACTGGCCTGATAAAATAACCTGGTAAATACTTCTCTCCATTTTCTGGAACATTCTGTATATAATTGGAATTACATGTTCCTTGATGTTATGGTAGAACTTGCTGGTTAAAATGTTTGAGTCTGGGATGGGTATTACCTAGGTTGATTTTTTTAAAACTTATTCCATTTCCTTTAATGGTTATAGATCTCTTTAAGATTTTTATTCTTCTTGAGTCAATTTTTATCCATTTTTCAGGAAATTATCCACACCATGTAGGTTTTCAAATTTTCACCAATGCTACTTGTAGTTTTCTCTTAATACATTTTAACCTATTGTATATGTATCCCCTCTTTTCTGGATCAGTTGTGCCAGAGAAATCCTTTTCTAACTAGTATTTCTTTCTACTAGTGTTTTCAAACAATCCGCTTTAGTTAATATTATTGCTCGGTTTCATTAATTATTGCTTTTATATATTATATTACATATCACTATATTTGATATGAGTGTATATATATTATTATTAATATATAACATTAGTTTCTTCCTTCTCCTTGGGTTTATTCTCTTGCCTATTTAATGATTTCTTAAATTCATGGCTTAAGTAATTTTCAACCTTTATTTTTAATTTTAAAACTTAAAGCTACATATCTTACTCCACATATACCATTCTGATTGCTTTCCACTAGATGAAGAATTTCTATTATCATTCCAGAAAAAAGAATAGATTTTAAATATGACTTACTTAGGATTTTTTTTGCTTTGATTTTTAGTAATTTATGTCTAACTTAACTGAATCAGGGTCACAGAAGGTGGGCTGTATGAAGCAGATTCTTTGTTATTTGTTGAAACTTGCTTTGGTAAATGGTAGATTTTCATAAATATATCATGTGGTTTTGAAAAGAATGTGAATGCCTTAATGTTAAATGAAGCATTCTATATGAGTGTATTAAAATCAGACTTATTAACTATGTTACTCAGATTTTCTATAGCCATGCTGGTCTATTTTATCATTTTTTTGTACTGGTACATGAAAATTTTCTTACATGATTGAATTTGCTCATTTCTCCCATAAGTCTCTCAAATTTTGCTCTCTGTATTTTTATAAGTATGTGATAAGAAACATCAAAAAAAAAAACCTTAAAATCTTACTATGCTACTCAGTTTTCTATTTTTTTTTAATAGTTGTTATCTCTTTTTGCTGTATGTATTTTAAAGCTATGTTATTAGGTGCATACAAACTTAGATAAGCTGTGTTTTTCTAGTGAATTTTTAACATACACACAGGTGATCTTTAACTCCAGTGCTATTTGCTTTTAAGTCTAGTTGCCGGCGATCAATATAATTACTCCAATTTCCAGTTAGCATTTGCCTGACATATTTTTTTCCATCCTTTTTATTTTCAACCTTTCTATGTCCTTAAGTTTCAAGTGAGTCTCTTATAAACAGCATACAGATGGATCTTGTTCATTTATTTACTTAGTTGACTAGTAAGTTTAGTCCAT